CACCCTGAATGTGTCTGTGGCTGGAAGGGGGAGGTGGAGAGGAGGCAGGGAGCATGGGGGAAGGCCAGAGTAGTGTGGACAATAGAAGTGTCCAATACTGGAGGGACACTGGGGCTTGGACCTGTGCCCTTGTGGTCACTGGACCTCACAGAGGTGGAGGGGAAGGAAGGAGGCCAGTCTGCTTGTGCCTGGAGTTCCATCTGCCTGCAGCGCCATTATGATGCCAGGGCCTTCAGGTCAGCAATGTGGGATCAGGAATCCGTTGGTAGACTGAAGTTGCACCTGCATAGGTACCAGGCGACAAGGACACAAGCAATGCCCAAGAATGTGCAGAAGACATGGAGAGAGGTTTTGTCTCACAAGCCAACTCCAGCCACTGAAGAGCTGTCTGAGCACAGGGCTGGGAGGGCTCTGGGCCAGGTGCAGACTGCAGGAAATGGTGCCCCAGCCAACTAGCAAAGTCTCTTGGGGTAAGGGCAGGCAGCCTGTTGGTCCCCTCCGGGCCAGGGCCTCTAGGGTCCTGCATGGACCCGCGCGGCACGCTGAGCACGGTGGGCAACTGCGAGGAAAAGACTGCCATGAGGCAGCCCATGGGGGTCCAGAGTCTGTGGACACCAAGGGCAGCTCCTCCAAGCGCATCTAGGGTTCGCCCCTCAGGAGTCAGGGCCGGGTCTTGGATCAGCACCATGGATAGCTCACTGGGGAAGCTGGAGGGAGGGGCAAGTGCGCTCTCCACGGTTGAGGGGAGGGGGTATTGACAGGGCTTCAGCCCAGCGCTCCCCAGGACACTGCCCCAGAGCAGGGGCCGCTGGCTTGGAGGGGAGTGGAGCACCCTGGCTCTCCCTTCTAAAGCAAGCTGGGCCCATGGGCAGTGCTCATTCTGTCTCCATGGACAAGTTCATCGAGCTCAGGTGGGTCTGAGTCTGGGGGTCTCCGGGAGGTGCCGGGCACACCCACCATTCAGTGCCTCACAGTGCCCCTGCTCCCCTACAAGCCTATGATGGACCGGAACAAGGCGGCCGAGCTCCCCAAACTGCAGGTCGGCTTCATCGACTTTGTGTGCACGTTCGTGTACAAGGTGAGCAGGGCGGTCCTGGGCTGCTTGGGTTTGCCAAGGATGGGGTGCTGGTGTGGGGCTCCCATACTCCTTGCATCTGCACTTAACATCTGAAATCCTCAGTGTCACCCACAAGGGGGCCCCTTCCCTCTACCTCACCCCGTCAGTTCCTCAGAAGCACCACGAGCTTTCCCACCCAGCTTTCTCCCTCCTGGAATGTCCTGCTCACCTTGAGGTCTTACCTAAAACCTCCTTTCCAGAACCCCCCTTAGGGCACTGCGGTGCATTTGTTCAGTGTCTAAACACTGGGAGGAGGGGGGTGGTCCACTGTCACCAGCTTAGTGTGTCAGGCCCAGCAAACACCTGGACACATCTGAGTGACAGTGGGACATGTGCCAAGGACCTGGAGCAGGTACTGTGACATCAGCTCCAGGGACTGGCCAGGGATTTAGGGGGCAGAGCCCTCCTGAGTGACACCTACCACCACGTCACAAGCTCCACCCCGGCTGTTCGCTGCAGTCTCAGGGCAGACCCCACACTCCAAGGAGGAAGTTGTCTGGTTCTGAGTGAAGTCACTCCTGACTGGCCCTGTCCCACTCCCCACCTCAGCTCCTGAGGCCTCACACTGCCCTTCACTGAAACACCACCGAGGGGCTATGAGTGCTGGGGAGGAAGGCAGGACCAGGATGTACGCACTGGTCCTAAAGTGGTCTCATGCTGAGGCCCCATCAGGCATTCCCTTCCCACTGCCCAACCCCATCCACCCACATAGCTTGTGTATGGTTCGTGTGTGCATGTGTCCACGTGACACACACTTCATGTCTCATGAGTGTTCAAGTGTGATCATATGCACTCTGTGATCCATGTGATGTGCACGTGAGACAAGTGAAGGAGCCTCAGGGCCTGCCAAGTCTTCCCAGTGCTGCCCACCTCTGACAACGTCCCTTCCACAGTTGTCTTCTCTCTGAGGGACCTCACCCTGCAGCTCCTGTTCTGACCTCAAGGACACAACCCCCAAGCCTTTCTCCCTTTTCAGGCCTTTGCTGGGAACAGGAGAGCTCAGTGGTCCTCCCTCCCTCACCAGGGCAGTAGGGCCAGGATGGCGCCAGGGAGGAACAGGCGTGGGGAAGCCACCTGTCCCAGCCCACCCAGGAGCCCCTGGGAGGTGCGGTCGGACTTCCCAATTCCCTTTCTAGGAGTTTTCCCGCTTCCACGAGGAGATCCTGCCCATGTTCGACCGGCTGCAGAACAACAGGAAGGAATGGAAGGCCCTGGCTGATGAGTACGAGGAGAAAGTGAAGGCTCTGGCGAAGAAGGAAGAGGAGAGGATGGTGGCCAAGAAAGGTCTGGGCTCATCACCTGCCACGGCTGAGACTGTGGGCCCAGGACTGGGCCTGCAGGGGGCGGGTGTGTGGTGAATCCCCCAAGTTAAAGTGCATGAGGACAGGGAATTAAACAACCCAGTTACATGTAGAGAAAAGCCAGGCTTCAGGCAGCCCTGTGGTTAGCGCACTGGGGTCTGTCACTGCACAGGAAGCCACCGTGGGGAGGCCCGTCCCTGCTGATTCAGTGTAGCCAACAAGCCAGACTAAAAGAACTTACCCAGTTCCTAGCCGGGGACTCTCAAGGGAAGTGACTGAGAGTGTTACTTCCTTATAAAGGGGAGAAAAGCCCTGAAATATCATGATCTCTTAGCAGCTTTTGTTCCATCACCAAGCAGCAATTCCCTCCTGAGTAACTCAGAAATCTGCCTGTACTCCCATGCTACCCTCAGAAACAAAAGAGCAGATCTAGAAAAGAAGCAAGCTGAGTCAGCAGGCGTGACCCCATTCCCCATCCTGTGTGCAGAGCACTGTTCACCCTCACCCTGCCTTGTGGGACTGCGACTCCACTGTAACCAGTCAGCGCACCCCCACATCAGAACCTGTGACCCTGCTGTCTTGGCGTCTACATGGTCTCCAGAACTTTTGTCACCACTCCCTGAAATCTCCAGCAGGAGAGGGAACCAGTATAAACAAGACGGCTTCAGGGCTGTGGGAGGCCAGGGCTGGAGTGTCACTGATAGCTAAACTAAGAACAGCTGAGCTAATCGGCTTAGGCTGACTACAGACCCTGCTCTGCCCTCTGCCAGGCTGCTGGAGGACATGGCCAGGAGGGAGGGAGCTGGGCTGGGGTGCACAGTTCTTGCTCAGTCTTGTCTTCTCTTACAGCGGGCACAGAAGTCTGCAATGGTGGCCCAGCACCCCAGTCTTCCACCTGCTGCATCCTGTGATTCAGTCAGTGGGATCCCATGGCTCCCTCAGCCCACACACCCACAGACGTTCTGCCTCTAACCACTGGTACAAGCAGCTAGGAAGCCTGAGAAAAAGACTGAAGACAATTTTGGCTATTTTGAATGTTTTTAAGGTTTGTGTTTTTATGAACTAAAGCCAACTGTGATTTGAACAGTGTAGCCCATCTTATGCTCATCCATCTTTTGGATGCATAGTGATACCACCAGAAGACCTCTGAACAGGGTCTGGGAACTGTGTCTAAAAGCACTGGGTGAATACATTCACAACTGCACATGTATTTATGTGCATACGCGTAGAGACAGACACACAGATGCCAACTCCCATCCGGTTTAGAACAAATATATGCACAGAAATTTAGAATAAAATAAAAAGAAAGCATGCTGCCCTTTTTTAACATGGCACAGGACATTTGTTTGTGACCAATTGTAAAATTCTGCCAGAAAGGTCAAGGCTGTGAGAAGCAGTGATCAGTAATGAACGGTGTGTGTGGAGTTGCTCTGAACCGCACTGATGGACCAGCCCAAGTCCTGCACAACTGAGGTTTCCTCCTCGGAAGCAACCACATGCCTCCAATGACCTAATGGTGCTGAGCTGTTAGGAAAAGCAGAGTCAGAACCAAGCGGCACAACGCACGACTCACGCTTGAAATGAGTACTAATAATCTGATAGAAAGTAGGAACTTTTAAGTTGTAATGAGCTCCAAAGCATGTTTCCAGATGCTGGGTACTCCTCTTGGCTGCAGGATGAGCCAGTGCCCTAAGGCCAATCTGGGTGTGGTTAAGGCTGTTTCCTAGAATGCCAGGTGGGAGGGAGGGCGCCCCACACAACCTTTTACTCACAAGAAGGAGCGGCTCAGTGATAAGGGGTCGTGTATGGGGCTGGGGGCTCCTCCAGGTCCCCAGAGGGACCCCAGTGCCAGCTGCCCACCAACCTCAGGACATCCCTGGGGTGTGCACCATCCCCACTCAAACTTCACCTCTACAAAAACAGGGCTTTGAAGCACTGGCTGCTTCTCATTTTCTCCTCATTTTACAAATGAATTAGAGCTCTAAGCCCAGATCTGCTCCAAGTGCAAAGCTGAGAACAGGACTTCGGACTTGCCCACCCCAGGTCTCCTCGGAGAAGCACAGCCATTAGCGTGGGACATGCATTCGGCTCAGGCACAAAGGCTGCAGCCCCCTGAACAGCTAGCTGCGCCCCAGCCTGGTCCTCAGGAGGCCACAGCCCCTCCCTGGGGCCAAGGGGAGCATGTGTGAGGTGAGGGGTGGAGCCCCAGGTCCCGACTATAAGGGCATCAGCCTGCCCCCGACCCTGCCATGCCCACCCGAGGGTCTGAGCAGGGTTAGGGTTACCATGGTTAGCAGAGAACACCAAGCAGCATCCAGGACACCAGGGCTAGCCATGTCTCATTACAAACTGCGCCCTTTGTCCACCACACCCCCCAACCCCTCCACCGCAGAGCAAGCGATGGTGTTTCTGTGATTCCCGCCTTGTCTATGCACCGCATCCTGGGTCTGTGGCCAGTGATTAGTTCTTTGAAACTCCCTCCCCATCCACGCCCTAAATAATCTGAGGAGGTGGGCATACAGCTGCTGAGCTCGGGTCCAGAAACCAATGAACTGGGGACAATAAAGGAAAGCCAGAGAACCTACACAGCACAGAAGGCTTTATTCGTCCACGCTGCTCCAGAGAAACGCAGGCTCACTTCAATATGCTGTCCTCTTGGGCTGAAAGGTTAGAAGGAAAACACACATGCCATCACACATTCAGGAAACCCAAAAGGACCACTGTAGGTTTTCGGCGTGAAACAATCCAGTATCTAATCTCAGCGGAGCCCAGCTGTGCTCTGCTTGCACTCCCACCCTGGTCTTTCCCATCTCTGCCTGTTCTGACTGGAACCTGCTATTGAACCCAGAGAGGTGGGCCTCGTTCTGGTCCTGTGGCCCCTCTGAGGGTGGCAGACAGCTAACCTCCAAGGCCTAGGGGCTAGGCCCTCAGCAAAAGCAAGGATCACATGTCCCCCTAACACCCGTGACTGCTTCTCCCTCCCCCCAGAGAAGGACCCACTGGACCAGTGCCCTCCACTGTGGGGCTCACTGGAGCAGCAGCTGTTTCTGAAAATCCAGGTGGAGGGCAAAAACTGAGTAACACAAGTACCTTCTGCCAGTTCTCTCTCGATCCGCTTCAGTTCATCCTGCTTCTTTTTCTCCTCAGCGGCTATCCTCCTCTCCTCTTCTGCCCGAGGTTTCAGGTAATCTGTTTAAGGAAATCGGGGGGGGGGCACTCTCAATCAACCTCTTCACTGAAATGCTGCATAAAAGCAATTTAGTCCACAGGCAAAGTTATCTTCAGATGCATTGCGAACGCCAGAGGCGACTGCTTTCCACTCTTTTCCTGCATGTAGGTAAAGCCCGACATTCACCCAACAGAGAGCCCAACCCAAAAGGCAGCTACAGGGTCCCCGCGGCCACCCCAGACGCTCTGCTCTCTCGCTCGGTCCTCTGTGATGAAAGGAGCTGCCTCGAGTCAGATTGCAGCACTCTCACACACCCTCAGGACCAGTTTTAACAAAAATCAACTGCTTCCAGTTCCCTGGACGGTACCTGGCATCAGAAGGCGCTCGTCCCGGCTGCCTGAGACCGACTACGAGCCTGCTGTGGCCGCGCTCGAGGGTCGGCCCGCTTGGCCTCCGGGTCCGACACCTCCCACCCTGCCCCCTCTCCGGCCTGAACGCGTTTACTTCGGGGCACCAGGAAGCCCAAACTGGCCTCGAGAAGCCCCGTGCGCGCGCCGCGGGTCACTCACTGTAGCGCTTGGCTCCGTAGGCC